AAATTGGAGAACATCATTATAATTCTGTATTTCAGAAGGCAGTTCAGGTTTCCAATTACCCTGCTCAGAAGTAAGTGAAGCTTTAATATCATCAACTGGATCCTGGCTCCCACTGTGATGTTCGGCATCATCAACATATCTAAATACATCATTTAAAACAAAATAGCCCTTGTCTTGTGGTGCCAAGAAGAAACTCTGAGTAAATTTCCGCTTCACCTTGTCCTTTCCAATCAGATACCCAGTCACAAGAACAAGGACTCCCCCATCGTGAGAGTCTTGTGCATCTACAGTTGTTATCTGTGCCGTAAATTCTCCATAACAAAGTGAGAGTATCTTCTCATTGATGGCCTGGTCCAGAAAACAAAGCATCACAATTTCAACTATACCATTTCAAACTCCTATATAGCTATTTAGATATTATGTCAAGAGCATACAACACAACGCAAGTTCCAGGCTACAATACAACCAACCATATAAAAATAGAAGGAAAAAATTGGTTCCATAACCTGTTCTATTTCAATAAAAATCCATCTTGTTGCTAGATTTTTCACATTAGAAACAAAGTAAACCTTGATTTACTAAGACATATAGCTTTAAAAGGCTAGAGCACATGGTTTTCAATAAAAAATTTTGGATTAAAGAAACAAATGAATAAAGAAATTATACTAAAACATAATTGACATGAGATACTCTCATTTAAAAAGTTTGACCCAAGACAAAAACACATGTATGAGAGAGACAGACAGAGAAAACTCACTTGCATTGTTGTTGTAATACTCATGACACCATTTTCTTCAGGGCGACCAAGTTTGCTGCTATCATGGTAAAATCGATGAACCAACGCAGGCGATTGATGTAGGATAAGGTAGTATTGATGAACAAAGGCATTACCAACCTAAAATCACCAACAAGTAGAGATCAAAGCTTGACTTTAAATGCAATATTACTATAACATCCAAAAAAGAAGGGGCGAAACATACAACATCAGCAGTAGGAGCAGTAATTCCAGCTGGGACTTGTTGTTCTGTAGATGCCATTGCCGATTTGCTACCTGCAAAACAAAGAAACCCTAATTCAAATCACTAATGAAAATCTCTAACCCTAATTTCATGCAACCATTTACTCAAACAAAAACCCCTAACCAAATTATATGTCTAAAGGCATAATTTTTTTTTTTCCAGAAGTAACCGTGAAAGATTCTAACTTTCATTTCTACTGGATACAGAAAGTTTAGGTCCATTAAATGGAGCATACCCTAAAAAAGAATTACAGGAAGAATTTCCTGTGAAGGCAAACAGAACCACGGATCCCACTGATAAACACTTTGCTTACAGCTAAAATTTATGACATCCATACTCTTAAGAAAATTTAAGCATTTTTTTTCCTAGAAAGTGAACATTTATCCTTGATCTAAGCAACAGAAAAAAAAAACAAAAAAGAGATAAATGAAGTGGAAACTTATTTAAGAAACGAGGTTATTTACCTGAGATTTTAGATTTGGATCGCAGAAAAGAGAGGTGAGAGATAAGAGAGTGCCTTTTTCTTTTTTCCTGATTTTTTTTTTTTTGGTCTTTCAATTTAAATGGTTTCTTTGCTCTTTTCTCTCACCTCCCTTTGTTGGTTGTTTGGCGCTTTCTAGGGTTTCTGTGGATCTTGAAGAGGCGCGAGACTGGGCAGCGAAGAGAGGGCTCTGCAGAGACAGGGTTTTGGTATTTATAGTCGGAAAATTATCCTTTGCTACTTGTTAGTCACCCGGGCAAGGCATGGCTTGTCCACCCAGCATTCCTTTTATTCCTTTTTCTCTCTTTTTGGCTTTCCTAATCTATTATCTAATCTAATACTAAGATTAGATTCCATTACCTTAATCATACAAATTTAAAGGTTATTCCTTTTTTTCCCAAGAATTTTCCAATTTCATTTGTTTAGGTTGACTGTTACAATATTATATTTCTAAAATTAAAAAATATATATTAAACTTGATTATTTGAAGTTGAGAATATATGCACTCACCGTTAAATTAAAATTCTTTGATCTATCCATTTATATCCATATTATTAATGGGTTAGGTTTCGATAGGATATTATTCACAATCATATGTTTAATTTTCACTAATTATTAATTTAGAGGAGGGTGAAGTTTAGAATTGTTCTTTGATCTAGAGGAGACAACCATGATGGTTACAGCATCAGTACTAAAGTATCATATATAATTTGGTTAACAAAATCTGAGGAGGATTTGATCTCAAATTGACATATAGAGTGAATGAATTTGTTTATAATAAATAGATGGGTGATTATTTGATTAAGGAGTTTCATGGTAGATGAGTAAATACAATTAGATACATTTCATGATTGAGATAATAAAGAAGTTTAAATCCCATGAGTGCTTGGTCTAAATGTTTCACCATTAATTCTATGCTTAACATCTTTTTCTTTTGAATGACTATGATAAGAACCTTCTCCTATTTCGTAAAACCTTTCTTTGGCTAGCCACTGAGTTTTATTGGTCAAAATATTTATTACGTCTCATTCGATTTAATTTTTATACTTAAAATCGAAGTAATTTAATTTTTTAATTTTAAAAATTACTTCAATTTAATCTCTTCTCTAATAGCATATAATTTTGTAATTAAAAAAGATAATATCAATACTGATGTGACACCAATGTGATGGTAAGACAATACTACATGGCACTGGCATGTTGCTATATCGATGTCACATGGCAATGCTGATATGGTAGATTGAAAAAAAAAAAATTGTTGCTTGTTATAAGGATTAAATTGAACAAAAAATATATAGTATAAAGATTAAATTAAAAAAAATTAAAGTGTTAAGGGACTAAATTAAAAAAATTTAAAATGTAAATATTTAAGTTGATAATACATATACTTATTAATAAGTCAAATATTTAAGTGTAAAATATTTATGGTGTTAAAAAATATATATAAATATTTTCTTACTTGATTATTTGTTTTCAGAGTAGGTATATTAATTTATTTATTTGCAAAAATAAAGTTTGAATTCTTCTTCTATAACAAAGGTTCCAAAAAAAGTTTAATACTTAACGCTAGATTTGGATGAAGAACTTGCATTATATTGGAATAAAATAATATAAAAAATAAATAAATTTTTTTTTCTATTTATAGTAGTATAAAAATTTAAAATTTATATTTTAATTTTAACTTAGTTTTTAATTAGAACTGAACTCAAATTAATAAAATACATTAATTTAGTTATAACTTTCACAATTTACAAATACTTATTCTTTTAGAATTTTCAACATTTACCCAATTTACTTTTTATTTAAATTTACTCAAAATTTCTTATAAAATGATTTTATTTTAGTTTAAAAACTTAAATCAAATTCTGCTAAATTTAAATTTAAATTATTAATTTGAATCTACAAAAAATTTGTAAATATAAAATAAAGTGGTATAAATATTTACAATTATATTTAACTCTATTAGCCATAAATACAGTATTCAATCTAAGAGATTTTAGCTTAAACAATATAATTTGAAATATTAAACAAAATAAAAATAGAAAAAATAAACAAAAAATTGAAAAGGTAGAGTAACTCAGATTCTATGGATGTAATATGAGATTTGTCATGCTTAAATTGAATGAGTATGAATGAAAACTTATTTTTATAATTATCGTTAACTTCATATCTCTTTTTTTCATTTTTGTTAAAAGAAAAAATCAAAAAACAAAAATTAAGAACAATGAGGCTTAGGCACGCACAAATGTTGTCATTAAAGAGTTGTTTGGTTCTTATATTAAAAGAATTTAAGAAAAAAAAATCTAAACTAGAATCCAAAAACATAAATTTGTTATTGTTGTCGTAATTTTGTAACAAATAATCGATAAATTAAACTTTTAATGAGAAAAACAAAGAATGGAGAAAAAGATTGAGAAGTGGCCAATAGGAAGAGTAGCTATTAACTTTTATAACTGTAAAAATAAAATTGTAGTTCTAAGCGTTTTTAAAGTTTGTGTAAATGATGATACTGTCATTCTATAAGTATATATAAAAGATAAAATATTAATTTTTTTTATAAAATGAGAATTTAAATTTAATTTTTACAAAATAGATAAATTAATGTACTTATTATACAATCAAATGATCAAACAAGAAAATATTTATACATATTTCTTAACACTATACATTTTTTACACTTAAACATTTATCTTATTAATAACTATTTTTAAATTTAAAAATATATATATCATTTACTTAAAAATTTATATTTTTCAAATAATATTTTTTAATTTAGTTTTTAAATATTTCAATTTCGTTTAATTTAATTCCTGTACTATAAATTTTTTATTTCATTTAATCACTATGACGTGATATAAATATTTTTTCTTAATCTATATCGTCAAAATTATCACATAACATTAACATATTAATATTATCACATCATTACATCGATGTCATGTGTTATTGTCACATCAGTACTACTTAAACACTGACGCAACCTCTTTTAATAATAAAATTAAATATTATTAAAAAAAGAAACTAAATCAAAATAAATTTTAAAATTAAAAAATTAAATTACTTCAATTTTAAATATAAAAATTAAAGTAAATAAAACACATAAATACAAAAATTTGATAAATATTTTGAACGAATTTTATTAGTTGACGGACTTGCAAATAGCAACTGGCACATGGATTTGAACCCTGTTGACTTTTGTTGTTTGTTGACCTTAAAATGCAGGCCATTCCAAGGGTTGGGCCTATATTGGGATTTACATTACAACAATCCACCAGCTCGACCCTTGGGCAGTAAACAAATTTATTGCCTTTATCAATGGCTTAAGCGCTAAAATGCAAACAGTGATCATGCAGAGTTAACCAATTGAAAGTTCAGTAAGCTACTGCAGACTACAGTAATAGTAAAATTTCATTGAATAGTGCGCCAAAGCAAAAGTAGGATTCAAATGGTGGTCAGCACAATGCCGTATAGGAAGCGCTTGCTACAATATGAAACAACCATTAACCAAACGACCTACAATCTTCTTGTCATTTACTGCAGTCAGAAACCGTTTGCAAGAAAAGGAATACAACGAGTCTCCCCCATTCAGTTTCCGAGGAAGAGCTCAGTACAAAGTATACAACCATCATTTCAAGCCTTGGCTACTCAAACTTTTTCTGCAACTCCCATTGTGTAGAAAACAGAAAAAGGCAAAACAAAAAAAAATGAAGACCGGGCACAACAATTACCTTTGCTTTATTATTAATAGGCAGAGGGAATCACAGTAATGTGTCTCAGAGGATGTGATACATCACTACCCCCAGCATGCTGCACAAACTCAGCCGGCGTGAATGAACTTCCATGGCAGACACAGATGATGCTGACTTCAGATTTGGTATATCTGTACAGAAAACCATTAATGGTTTTACCATTCGGGCCATTGCCTGTTGTTGAAACGCAAGGCATGTTACGGAGGGAAAGGATGCCATCATAATCAGGGGTTAGAGGCTTAGGAGGTTTGCCCATGTCCCCCTTAGTATCTTTTGTTGAAGTAGTGGTTGGAGTTTCATTAGTCGAATCAGGCTTGCTTTTTGGATTTGGTTGGGTTTCTGGTTTGGGTTCTTCCTTTGGATTAGATGGAGTGGATCCGGTGACCTTCCATGAGGCTGTCTCGTCGATGCCATTTGTAGATTTGTCAGTACTTTGGGTAGAACCCATTTGGTAAGAGGTAGCACTTTGTTCAGACTGGCCCTTTAGATTGCTTGCTACTGAACAATTCATTTGAGGTTGTTCCAATTGGCAACAACTTGTGTGGGTTCCAGTTTCACTGCTGCAACCACCTGAAAATGAAAGACAGCCAATATATTAACAAAGGCTTTCTTGGCAGAGGGAAGCATTTGATATCAATGTAGCATCACAATGACAACCAATAAGAAACTAACGAAAATATGATGATTACTTTTGGGAGCAGTACATCCTTCCACTTGGCAATGGAGGAAACCAGTAAGCTAAACTGGTTTAGTAGTATATAATTCACACGATTTCTCCACTCCATCACGTACAGTACTGGTTTTGGTGAATGGATTTATAAATTTCGATCCTATTATATGGATCTCAATTGATTCTCCCCGACACTGTCAAATTAGTTCATCAAATGGTTAAGCTATGCGATAAGAAAAGAGGTTGATTGAGTGGTCCACTCAACTGTATATCAAATCAAAGGCAGGGTAGTGGAGACCGTGACCATGACGTTTGCTTTGTCCTTCACCAAATGCAATAGCTGCTTGTTTATAATCTTAGGTGAAGTTGGAAATTAAAATGCATTAAGCCTAAACATATATTATGCTAAAAGATTGACCTTTTCAACCAAAATTTAGCATTGATGATTCAATATTTACATTTTCAAAATCCTCACTCGGTCAACCATCCCTCTCCATTCCATGTTTGCTCAGGAAAGCAATTTTCTTTTCTTATTTTACTTAATTGAACTTTTTACATTTTATTGCACCCAAATAAATACTTTAATAGGCATTAGACCCACAGTCAACTCGCATCTTCTGCACACCTGGATGGATGATGATTGATACAATTTTGCTCATATCCAGAGGTTGGCTGAATAGGAAATTCTCTGTCCTAAGACATGTCATTCTAATCAAATAAGCTAATTCCGTCAAGTTGGAAATGTCATGCCCACTGTCACGAGTGTAGTGTAAGGGAGGACCCAACCTTTATCGGTTCGGTTATCAAGTTTCGACAACATAAAACTTATTGCGATAAAAATCATAAAATGGAAATTTATTTGATTACAACAAGTAAGAGCTTTTTTGAGAAATTTAATATTTTAGCATTTTTCAGAAGAAACCCAAGTTTTCTTGTTTTCTATCAAGCTTAGTACGTTAATTCAAATCAAAATCACAAGAAGAAAACCCTCGTGCACAAATGAATAATGCCCTATCTTTCAAGATTTCAAGCTTATAATAAGATGACCCTGCAGGCTTTGATTTCCGTTTTAGGCAGCCATGCCATAGAAGTAGAACTAAAAGCAGACAAGCCTCTAGAAAACACATACAAGCATAAGACAAAATGGAAAACTTGAAGTACCTTGATTAGAAGAGCTTTGAAGATCCGAAACCCCCGAGGAACTACACATAGGCGACCCATTTGACCGCGTTTTCCTATTCCTTTCATCTCTGCTACTATTCTGCTCCGAATCGTCTCCATTTCCAGCATTCACACCCGATTCCTTACCCGCCTGAAACGGGCGAACCCGCTATTACACGGCATTGGCTGAACTAGACCCTTGTCATTCCCAGCACCACCATCCCAACAAGGCATCGCATTTACGCAAGGATAAGCAAACCCATTTACGAGCGGCACATACTGGACCTGCGGGTAGGGGACCCGCACCGGAACAACCGGGCACACCAACGGATTATTTTGTTCGGCGCTTAAATTACGATACGTTACCAGAAAATTCTTCAACTTTGTTCTTCTTGCATTCTCTTTCTTCTGTTGCATCGACGTCGCTGTCTTTGCAACGGAACTCAGCGTTTTGATGACCTCTTGATGATATTATTGTTCGTCTCTTCTGCTGCTTCTCTTCTCGCTTTTTCTTGGCTTCTTGTCTCCTTAACGCTTGAATCTCACGTTTCGTTTGCGGATCAAGAACCACGCTTTCCCGCGAGATCTGCAACCGAGTTATTCCTGGGTTTTGATTCTTTCTTGATTGGCTTTAGTTTCTCGGCTTTTCCAAAGCTTCCTCCTATTGCTAGTCCCAGTTCTAGCTCAATCTCATCCTCTCTTAACCCTATAATTCCACAGTTATTTTCCATTGCAAATAACTCATAAAAACGCTTCCTGCTAAAACCTCACGCTACCATGAAGAAACCAAAGAAAATAAAAAATACAAGACAAGAAAAATGTACTCTCTTCGTACCTGCTTTTGTATCCTGTTTTGGAGTCAGATTTTCTGCATAGAGAAAAAGAAGGAAGAGAAGAGAAGAGAAAGGCCACGTGGCGAGATGGGAGAAGCGGAGATAAACGGTCGGTATTGACACGTAAGGGAGTTTTTGGACATATTTAGCGGAAGCGTTAAGCAAGGTTACAGCATTAAGCTCGGGTTAGCACTAATTTTTTTAACGCCCTTAATAAATCTTGATTTGGATCTTTTAATCTCAACAAGTTATATTTAGCGGGAAATCGCAGGATTAGTTTTTGTTGGCAAGAAAAAACTTAGGAAGAGGCGGAGGGAGAGGGGAGTTCAGAGGATGACACGTGGCTCACGTGCATGAAGAGCTAAGGGGTCGACACGTGTTTGCTTGGTCAGTTAATGAAAATGAAACAGCTTTGGTGGGCTCTTTCTGACACTCTGGCAGGATGCGGACACTTGGTGGAAGATTTCGCTGTCCCCGCGGATCTCGACCGTCTCATTAATTTTACGAAAACCCAGGAATCTGAAAAAAACGTTGCGGCTTCTTGGATACGACACGTGTAAAATATGGTCAGGTGGGGCCGGTTTTCGCTGCGTTACAATAATTTGATCCTGACATGTGGCTGGAGCTCGTGGCATCACAGCTCATCAGGGTCAACTTGCGTTCGCAGCTTTTGGAGGGATTGATGGGGATGTGTCGACGTGGGCCATATGGAAAGCGTATCGTGCACGTGGTGGGAGCCGTTTGGGGAAGGAGGGACACGCGGCGGAGAACAAAGAGGTTTTTAAATAGAGGCTGAGCATTCGGCGACACGTGGAGCTTTTGGACCGGGGACCGAGATGTGACCGAGGTTTGAAAGTTGAGGACGTGCCGCATGAGGAATACGTGGCACGGTCTGAGAAGGGCAGAGAAAACAACGAGCTTGTGAGACTGATTACTCGAGCAGATATGTGATAATTTCATTGAACAGGAATTTTACGTAGGTCAGCTTTGTTGCTGATGGGATGGGACTTGCTCATCTTTTTTTTTCTTTCTTTTGGTAAACCATCTTTTACCGTTAGAATTTGATTATAATCCATTCTTTATATATTAATATGGAAAATTGATCCTTCATCTCCAAATTTCAGACATCATTAATAGATATTTAAAATGACTAAATTACCCTCTTTGTTTAATTTATTGTCATTACTATTGCCTTCTTCCATTTTTGTCTTCCTTTGCTTTCTTTTTTTTTTTTTTGAAATTTCAACCGTTTTGAGTTTTTTTTTATTATTTCTAACTAGATTCTTTTGGAATTCTCTATCTTTGTTTGTTTGGAGATTTTAAAAAGAAATTGGATAAAAAAATTCAAAGAGAAAGAAGAAAGATTGAAAGGTGAACTTTTAAAAAGGGTTTGTCAAAGTTAGGAGAGATTTGGAAAAAAAAAAAGAAAATGACCATAGGTAGCCTATAAATTGGAAAAAGAAATTAAAAGAATCGGTATCAATGGTATCTTGCCTTCAAGGTCATGGTGGGAAAAATTTTGATTCCGAAGACCTTACGGAAATAAGTTCTAATTTTATTGTTGAAATTTCTAAAGGATAGTTAATGAGTTATATTAAGAATTAATTTGCAACTCATTGAAATTCAAGAATGAAATGTTGAGGTTGACATTAGAGGAGATTTCAAAATCTTAATTATTTATTGGTATTAATGTAATACATTACCTCGGCAGAGTTTTGTTTCCCACCTTGCACTTGTAATGGGTTAGCATCATGACGATTAAATAAGGATTTTGCTCTATTGCATTATTGTTTTATGAGAAAGGTATTTAGGTTACATGTTGAGGATTTGTAATTTTGTAAATTTGATGTTTGATCATTAGATATCTTTTGGGATATCATAGAAATTGTTAGTAGCTAATGAGATTAGATTATGAATCATGATGGTAGTATACGGAGGCAAAAGGAGAGGGGTGGCTCAATTTTTAATTGTTTTTATTTTTATGTGTATAAAAGTCAAAATATATATATCTTCGCCACCTTTAAACAAATTACAAGATTTGATTTGGAATAGTGGTAAGAAACTTATGCTAATTTTTGAATGCATAGATTCAATCCCTTCTAAGTCCAAATTTTGAAATTATTTTTCTTTTTTTTTCCTTAGCTCAAATTTTGAAATTATTTTTTCCCTCATTTTTTCCTTAGCTCATCTTTTATTCTTTTTTCCTTAACTCATTTTTTGATCCCAAAGGTGGATTTAATTATTCAAGATTGATGACATTTGCAAGCTTGCTCAAAAGTGCAATCTTGATGACTTCACTCATTAAGAAAAATGGTATATGAAATATGAATTGTAGCATTTTGAACTTGAAATTAGGCAAGATTCTTGTTTGCAAAGTGTTTCAACTCTCTCAGGGCAAATGTCAAAGAAAAAAAAATCAATTGTATATCTTTTCTAAGATCGTTTAGTTCGATTTATTTGAACTTTTTTAGTTTTTATAGTAATTACAGAACATGCATTTTCAGGTAAGAAAATTTTAAACATGAGATTGCGTAATAAGATGGATGATAATTTTCTTGCTAGTTCACTTGTGTTTTACATTGAAAAAAAGATTGTCAAGACCATTGACACAAATTTAATTATAGATGAATTTAAAAGTATGGAAGCACATTGAGTATAATTTACAATACCTAATGTGAAAATCTAATTCTAATTTTTTTATACTTTATGTCTATCCATATTGATGAATCTGAAAACTTATATTTAAATTGTTAATGAAATTTTATGTTATAATTTAATTTTATTTCAAAAGTGATTAATTTTTGTTTTGAATCGAATAATTGATCTTATATGATTGGTCCCCACCCCTCATACAAAATCCTGAATCTGCCATTGGTAGTATATAAGAGTTTCCTTGGATCATCATTTAACATGACATAAGGTTTTGTCATGATTTTGTAAACAAAAGTTAAGGTTTTTTTTTTTTTATAATTGGGGAAAGGGAGATTTGAACCCTACTTTTTAGACAGTGGGATCATACACCAACTAATGAGCTAAATGCTCGAGTGCAAACAAAGACTAAGGTTGGTTATGGAAAAGCTGTAGTGAAGAAGTTTATTTTTTGAATAAAGTACTTGGGACCGTTGAAACATATCTTGTTTAAAAAGTTTGATATGTTATAAATGCATAAGGGTATGATTAGATAGTGTGGTAAGACCAACTAATAATTGTAGATTTGTATATTTGGAAATTTGATTATGCTCTCAATGTTGAAGGATATAAGAAAAATCGGTGATATTATGTGTGATGCTTTGAGTTAAAGTTGTGGCCATAACTTTAATTTGACATAAATCGTAAAGATTAAGACTATTAGAAACTTTTTAGGGCTTGAATATTAAAATTCTGTGTTAGAGTGCCATGAGTTGTTAATGGCAAGGTGATAAAATTGTGGTAATATGTAGAACCTTGGTTTGATATACAAGGGCAAAATGGGAAATTTACTTAGTTAGAGAGAGAACCTTATTTTGAACCAAAAATATAAGGAGTCACCCTTAAACTTATTAAAATGAGTAAAAGAGGATGTTAAGATGACATGGGAGCAAGAAAAATCAAAGGACAAAGCCATTATAGCATTTTGCCATAAAGGGATCAACCTTTGTGTCATGAATTACGCTCCTTTGCTTAAGTATGGGATAGTCCATGCTATATTTGAGTGGATGCTTTCACATAAATTAGCCAATAACTCGATTATATTTAACAAACATCAATGATAGCTATAAATTAGTTTAAGGTAACGCAACATCGAAATCATGAAGCATAACGAATGCCATATACGCAACCATTAAAGCCACATAAAGAAAATATTTTGTTAATATCAAGATAAGTAAAAAAAGACTAAAACACACCAATGTTGGGCCATAGAGGCAGTTCTAGATGGTTAGCTACTGACATACCTTTACCAGTGAAGTAGTCTAATAATCCGTCGAATATTTATCTCCTATAAAGAGTTTACAAGATTTTACAAGTAAGTTACCAAAAACCGTTACAAAGTGTGAGATGGGGACATTCCTTCCCTAAAGGATCTTCCCCCTAAAGACTTAACAATCATTTACCAAGATGTCACTAAGTGTCATTACAATGTTTAAAAAGGAGATATCTCCTTTGAGGGTACAAAGGACTTAGTCTTTTAGACAATTTTACCCTATCATAACCCTATACAAGGTTGGCTCATGACATTATGTTAGTAGGGATTGACCCCCCATGAGAGGACATGCATACTTTAGTCCGTTTGCTTCTCTTATTTTAAAAGCTTTACAAAGTTTCTTTTTACTGAGCATTTTTACTTTCTTTTTCCTCCATTCCCTTTATCAATTTGGATTGGTTTACGGCTTTGAACTCGAAAACTAAGGTGAATTTTAGCTTACTTGTACTTTTAGTTTCAATTTAACTGGTTTTCTATAATTTGAGCTCGACTCTCTCTCTAAGCTAAAGATTTTGGTTAGTTTTTGCTTTTAATTGCTCACCAAGGTAAGGACTCAATTTTTTGTGTTAATGAGCTTATGGTTTTGAGGTTGTAAAGTTGTTGGTCTAAAATTATAGAAATTGAGATTGTACTTGACTAGTTTTGAATTAAGGAAATTGAGAGAGATTGTGAAATTGATGATAAGTTGTAGTTGTATTTTGAGTTGTTGCAAGCTAGATACATGTTTTGAAAGTATTTTGATAAAGTAAGGACTTGGTGGATTGCAAGCTAGAGTAATAGTGCCTCATTCCACTGTGACTAGATACATGTTTTGAAAGTATTTTGATAAAGTGTGAGCATGTTTTGATTTGTTGATATATTTGTTTTTTGTAAGTCGCTTGATTTTTGTAAAAAACTATGGTTTTTTGTCTATGATTTGAGATGCATTTCAAAGGTATTATATTGTAAGTATATGTATTCATGTCAAACATTAAAATCATTACTAAACTTTTGGTTTACTATAGAATGAGTTTCAATCTTTTTAATTTTTTG